TTTTTATATAGTTGTTCTGTTTCAGATGATTAAATAAAGTCAAAATGATAATGTTAATCAATCCATTGTATGTCGTTACTTCATCTTAGTTACATACAACTTAATATCTTATTTGAATTCAAATAAACAACATGTATTAGCATAATTGAAGTTAATAGAATAAAAATTCATTATAAACTTAATGAATTATTTGAAACATATAATCTTTGAAAAAGCTTGCACCAGATTGTCAGGCAAAATGTTGGATTTGCTTCATCTTCTTTCGCTGAGATTTTACAAATACATTCTTCTTCATGTAATCATACCGTTTTACATAAGTTTGCAATAGTATTTCAATAAATCTAATACTTAATTATACTATCCCTATTCATATTCCGATAGTTTACTAACCATTGAGTACATGAAACAAAGTGAAAACCTTAAGCATAGTTAAAAAATAATCAATAAACTAAATCATATTACCTCTGGTGAAATTCATAATGGTTATAATAACTAAGTAGTTCAAACATATTCCTAATATTTACAAAATTTAAATGATTGATTCCCAATTACTTTTGTCGAAGAAATAAACGATGTTAATAGTTTAACGATCTCCATCATATTAAAAGACTAATAGTTAAACGAAGAATATTCATTTCGATAAATTCTCTTCAAGTTCTACAATAGTATATCCAAACTAATATTCCGAGAAATGGCCAGTTTAAGGGTAAAATACATCGTTTAAAGCATGTGAATTTAGGAATGCTAAACAAAATACAATAAAATCTTTAATGTTGATATGATACATATAGAATGTTAACTTGAATCTGTATATATGTGAAGTGAAGTTTAAGGTCCATGATCTATGATGCTAATAGTGTTTTTCTCTTCTTATTTCAACTGATATGACGATTTCATGTATTTCATCTAATACTTACTTAACCTTTCTCCTTTTTAATATCCCTGAAATAACATTTTAATTGCTTGTATAATCTCCATTATAAGATTTTTACTAAAACTTAGTTATGATTATACATATTAACCAATTTATTACTTCTTAAATGAAGTGTATTAGGAATAGTCTATTTCAGAAGTTTATTTGAGCAAATAAATCATTAAAGATAATCAAATTCAGATAGGATTGGCATAGTCAATTCAATTCCTTTATGTTTCAGCTTACATAGTTCATACAGATATGTTAAATTAGGCTAATAGATAAAAGAAGAACAAATAGATTAGGCGATAAACAGACAAAAGCACAGATAAAACATACACAAATGAGTACAAGAACAACACTAAACAAGGATACGGATAAAAGTGACTTATATGTCACATACTGTCAAAATTGTTAATATATGTTCAAGAGTAAAAATAACATAGGAGTATGAATCCACTACTTACACACTTAAATAATGATAGTTATTTCTTCCTAATCTCTACTCAGAATTCAAATAAAATCTTACTGCTGATGCTGAAAATATTATTTGAACACTAAGTCGGAATTTAATGGTAATCATTTTTCTAATGTATTCATTTTATTGAAAGTCAAACGGATATCCAGTAACTGACTAATTCTTGAACTATTCAACTCAATAAGTCAATATTTTTCAAAAATAATATTATTGGGGCTGAAACTAATTCCTAAAATATTTAATAAACAAAATTTATTCAAATGAGTACGTTACATGATATTAATGAACATTGGTCTTATTTTATATTAGACGCTCTGGATTAATGACGATTTCATGTAGTCATGACAAAAGATAAATTATGAAAGTTGATTGAGTACTTCGTCATGTCGTTTGACTTTTTTATTTTTGGTCATTGATCCTCTTGATATTTTACTGTCTATAGTCCATAATGACGGTGATTTCAACGACTACTACCTTTTATCAATCTACATATAAATTTATAGTAGTTCGATAAAGATACATTAAAATTTATTTTAATTTCGGATCCATAAAATTCTATTTTTTATCTACATCAACAGTAGACAAGTGTCCATTATATGAAACTTGACAACAACAAAACATAACTCATAATTTTTCAGTGAATAGATAACCCAACTGACAAAATTAAAGTAATTTCAGTGGTTTAGATCATGAGTCAGTTGAAGCTAGACCACCATGGAAAACCTGGAAGCACTGGAAGCTAGACATTAACACTGTCGGATGCCGGCTCAGTGGTCTAGTGGTTAAGTGCTTGCGCGCGAAACTAGTAGGTCCTGGATACGAACCTCACAGGGGGTGAGGTCGTGGATGCGCACCACTGAGAAGTCCCACAATAAGACGAAACGGCCATCCAGTGCTTCCAATTTTTCCATGTTGGTCTAGCTTCAACTGACTCATGATCTTAACCATTAAAATTACTATAATATCGACAAAACCCATCTGATATTAAAATTAAAGCAGTTTTAAACAACTTCGATTTGAATCAATTGGAAACAATAGATGATCAGCAATTTAAAATAAAAAATAATGATACATTTAAATGAAAAATAAATTAACTGAGATTATGCTGAATTAAAAAAATAATAGTCGATTTTCACTCCATTTATAAGGGTGTACATTTTTTCATTGTTGATGTCAATGAATAAGTCTATATTAGGATATCTACATTTTGAACAGGTTTCCATGATATTATCATTTAATCGCAAGTTTCTAGTAAAACTAGATAGTAACCAGAGATGGAACACAGAAAACTAATCAATTGCAGTCCTTAAAATTAACAATCGAAAAATAAAGACCTATTAAAATCAAGTGAAAACTTACTATTTTTCCAATATACTCTCAGTCATTTTCTGCATTATTTAAACGTATTATTACTGTTTCGACTGGTGAATTTGTCATAATTACTGGTTAGAATTTTATTCTTTTAGTCAAATGTTTCATTTCTTTAACTAAGTACACTGATAAAGAAAGAAGGCGATTCAACAAAGAAAATTTCCTTTTAGACAAATTCGTCTGTTTAGACTGTACACTATTATTCGTAGTTAGTTTGATTTGCGAAACTCATTTCCGAACATAATCCTATCTGGTTGTCCAAAGGATTACAGAAGTAAATCAAAAACTCAGTTTTGGAGCACCTAGCCAATCATGGTCAATCCGTTTCACCAGAATCCTCCTTTCGAAATATGTATACATTCAGAAGAATTGGATTAATAAGAATGCAAATGAAAAACTTATGTACAGAAGAGGCTATTGCTATCCACTAATTTAAGCCTAACCTTTGCATACAAAAATAGTATTTTAAATCCTTCATTCTTCCATGGCCTCAACTTCCTTTTCTACCTCCCATAATCTGTTATTCTTATTGATTCTTGTTTACATTACCATTCCTGCCCTTTTCCAATTATTTTCACGACTATTAATCAGCAATTATTACAACTTTTAATAGTTCTGTTCCTAATAGCGATTAAATGGATGATTATATTATCCAACTACTTTTTCACTAGCCCATTATTACATAATCTCCTTTCAATATCTGAATTTTAATTCTTGAAGACATACCACTTCAAGGTTTTTATTTGATTAGCATCTTTCTAACTCACTATAGAGCACCATTTTAGCAAATAAAATTGCCCATAAATACGATTGTCCAGCTTCAGTTATTGAAATCTTTGAAAAGAAAATTTTCTTCGTTGAATTGCCTTCCTACTTCTGCAATGATACAGTAGGTCTCTTTCATATAAATACATTTGGTTTGTGCTGACATTATGTAGAACATTCACCTTTGTGAACTAGGTTTTTGTGAGCTGATCAAGAATTAGGTAAAAGTTAAACTCATTAGAGTGGATATCGAGTTAGTGTAATATGTTAATCGACATAAATGTTTCTCAGCTATTCTAGTTATTTATGTGAAAGGTAAAATATTGACTGATTGATTTGTCAGCCCACTAATTATAAAATAAATTTATTTTTCCTACCTCAAAAAACCAACAGCTCATCATCTCACTGTATGTATGCCCATCTCTTCCTCTTTACATCCCATGTAAATGAATGACTTTTTGTCTCGTATTGATTGTTGGTTTGTTGTTAATGGACTCATACTTAATCTGTCTAAATATCAAGCTGTTAACTTTAGCATGAGACATGAACAAAACCTAAACACCATTTTGAGATCCTATAATGCTTGTAACATTGGAGACTCTTTGATAAACAGTGTCGAAAGTCAATGATCTTGGTGTTGTCTTTTCCTCCGATCTCTCTTGGTCTTCCCACGTTTTATTGTTACCGAAGAAGCTTATCCGTCTGACTTACTACATAAAGAGATTGCATGCTCTTGAGATTACTCGTCATTTACTCTTACAATTTGTCAATTCTTGCATATTACCTATTATTCTTTACCATTCTCCATTGTTCTTTCTTGGGCTCTTGAAAAAAGACTTTGCTGTGTTGCGGAGAGTACTGAAAGCAGTTAGCAAGATGTGTGGCTAAACTTTCGAGGTCATAATGTCATGTGGATAGACATCTAAAGTCATGCAAACTCCTGGCAGGTGTTATTCTATCAGATACTAACCATCCCCTTCACTCTTATCTTTCTCCTTGTATATCTTCTGGTAGAACAAGACGTAATTCCATTAAAATCCATGCACGCAAGCAAAAGTATGAAAGTTATATAACACCTTGCCTAGCAATTATACTCTGTGACGAACAGGTTGTTAGAGTTAAAATAGTCAATAAACTGCATTCTTAACAAGTTTCTAATTTGAAAAATTGTACAGTTTTTTTCGAGTTTTTTTCAAACTTTTTTTCCTTTTTTTGTCTTCGTCATTGTTTTTGCGTAACTTGATGAAATACCCTGTGCTGAGAATTCTATATTGTACCAAAAATATAATATTGAGTAAAGCCACTAGTAATAATAATAATAATAATAATAATAATAATAATAATAATAATAATAATTTCAGTAAATTAGAAAAGAACGAATAAATGAAATGTAAAAACATTCCCTATACATATCGTCTTTCATATAACACTTTTAATCTCCCAACTTATTTTCTATTTTTCTTATATTTATAGGTTTCTGCGATTATTATTGACTGTATTCTTCTGTGGTTTCGTTTTGTGTCAAATGGTGAATAGCCAATACAGAGAGACAGAGTTTAATCATGTAGAACCTGATGGATACAATGCATTATATGAAGATGATCCTAATTACATTCAAAAACGTGTTCAATTTCTACGTCTCGGTAAAAGATTAGCCAGGAAATCTGCATATCCTTATGTTGGTTAAACATTATGCTGATTTCTTTAAAAGATAACTTATGAAAAAACAATTGTTTAACAAAAATACAAATTTTTAAAATGAAACTAAATTAATATATAAGTAATGATTTACTAAACTTTGTCTTTTTATTCTAGTAATCGGGTGTAGCATACTTTTTCATCTTATTTTCCGTAATAATTATCTAACCATCATATAACCTAATTATGAATGTAGATATATCCTCCTTAAAATGTACTCAATGTTACAAATGAAGAAAATGTAGTCTTATCCATCATCAAACTAAGAATAATTATATAATGATTATGAAGGTTAACAAATAAAAAGAGATTTCACAAGTTGAAATCATGAGTCGATTGAAGCTAGACCACCATGGAAAACCTGGAAGCACTGGACGGCCGTTTCGTCCTATTATGGGACTCCTCAGCAGTGCGCATCCACGACCCCGCACCTCGTGGGATTCGAACCGAGGACCCAGGAGACACTCCTGGAGTTCTAGTGAGAAGTCGTTACGAGTGGAGTTGAACCAGGTCTGTTGTGAGATAGGAACTCACTGTTGACAATGGTGTACGGTGGCGCAACTTCGTGGATTGGTTGAAGTTAGGCATTAACACCGTTGGATGCCGGCTCAGTGGTCTAGTGGTTGAGTGCTCGTGCGCGAAGCCAGCAGGTCCTGGGTTGGAATCCCGTCGAGTGCGGGGTCGTGGATGCACACTGCTGAGGAGTCCCATACAAGGACGAAACGGTCGTCCAGTGCTTCTATGTTTTCCATGGTGGTCTAGCTTCAATTGACTCATCATTTCAACTTGTGAAATTTCTAAAAATCTCCACAAAACACATTCTGATAAAAGTAAAAAGAGGGTAAATTCGATACTATACTGTTCAACTCCATTTTTAATCATATAATTGATCGGTTCATTGAAATGTTTTGATTTTGGTATCTTGTCATTGTTAGAATCATTGAGTAATGTCATGTATTACTAATCCATTAGTGCTACTAATACAATTCAATCTACCATGTAGTAATTTGAAAACTATTCTAGGTGATTCAATATTGTGTTTACTACATTGAGATGATAATTATTTGCAAAGAAAATTCTGAACCTAGATCTAACGCTATTTGCAACTTTTAGTAAATTGTACCTGAAAGCATGTGAGATAGCTCTATAGTAACACCTCAGTCTGTCAAGCCACGTGATGCGGTTTCAAACCCAACAAAGTACATAAGTTACTTCACTGTTGCATATCCGCCTTGTTAAAGAGTATCAACCGGAGCGAAATCTAGATCCAAGATTTCCTTCTAATTACACACAACCACCTGAAATATTAAATAAATTGAACTAACACTGAAATAATACTCTAAATATTTTCAGTAAATAATAATTATAATTATAGAATATGAAGATCCATGCGTACAGAAATTTGATTATTTAGAAAATTATAATTATTTCTACTATTGTAAGTGAATTGTCTGTACTTACTATTCTCTCGAATAAAAGTTTTGAATATCTCATTAGTTTAACTGTGTATTTCTTCCAAATTTATATTGGCTTTTTTATTTCTAACACTCTTATTCCACAAACATTCGTTCACAAAATATTTCATTTATTTAAATTCAAACTATACAAAATGAATTTAAAGTTCACCCCATTGCAAAAGTTAATGGCAATCAGCACTCGGTAGTTAATTGGATAACGCGATGGCGTTTAAAGTGAATGGTACCGGGTTCAAGTCTTGGTGTAAACATCAACTTTGAGACCTAGGTGCAGCTGACGAGTCCGAAACAGGACGAAACGCCCATCTTGAATTCCACTACTAGCCATCATCTATCTTTTTTTATTGTCGTTCATTTGTTCATGTTTTTAATGTCTGGGTAAGAAGATAAACAATTTTATATCAACAAGGTACACGAATCCATTCATTTAATCAAATAGAATCATTTGAAAGAAAGAAAACCAAATCAAAAAGATTCAACTGTTTATGAAAAAAAAACCTTCCAACGATTTTATAAATTTTATTTGTTTTACACTCATCTTACTTTGGAAAATGAAAAATGAAAATTTTTTGTGTTTATAGTTTAACTAATACGGAATAATTTCAACAATTGAGATCATGAGTTAATTCAAGCTAAATCACCATGGGAAATCTGGAACCACTGGACGGCCGTTTCGTCCTATTGTGGGACTTGTCAACAGTGCGCATCGACGACCCGACTAGCAAGATACGAACCCACGACTTATCGATCTCGTGCGCGAGTGCTTAACCACTAGACCACTGACACTGCCGGCATCCAACGGTGTTAATATCTAACTCACTCCTTCTCACTAGAAGTTTAGGAAATACCTCTTGAAGCATATGTTGATTATAATCAGCAGGGGTTTTGTGGAGATTGTAGTAATTTCAACAGTCAAGATCATGAGTCAAATGAAGCTAGAATAACGTTTAAATTGATGATTGAATATAGAAAATTCATACAATGGTTGATCGTCTAATAAAAACGATAGAATATTTTGAAATAAAGCTATATAAAATTCATTTTATAAGATTATTTGATCTTACACTGTTCCAAAGATTACGACAAATAGTCGACCAATCACTTTCATGAATAGATCAGATAGACTTTTATGAATATATATTTTAGTTGTTTACAATTCAACAGTATTTCAGTATGGAACACATTAATCAGACCTACAACTACTATTATGAATGATAAATTTGTAATTAATCTTAAATGGATCAAGTCATCATACACTCATAGCATTAAAACGACGGATAATTTGGTATAAGTGTTTAAAAGTAGGTTATAATTAATATACGAGTAAGATTAATTGAGTAAATTTGTACAGGATACAAATATACCAAAAGAGATTGACCGATTGCAGTCCTAGACATCTATGAAAAGGTTCAAATAACCTATAAGAGTCAAAGTGCACCAGATTCCACAAATCGGAGGCTATCTGTGCTCAGTAACCAAATGGACAATGCGTTGAAGTTTGAAGTCAAGAGTATTAGGTTTGAATTTAAGGATGATTATTAACTCTTGGATCCAGGTTTATTCAGTCAACGAGTCCTAAATATAAGACTGATTGAGCGTCCTGCATTCCACTACCAAACATAATCCACCACTTCTATAAAACGTGTGATAAAATAGCTGAATAGAAGACATCCCTACAGGATGTACATGTGCTGAAACGACTGATGATTTATAGTTTTAAAAATCTAGTTAGCGTTTTTTAGCGAGTTAGTTTTCTACGGGATGAGGTCGCTAACCTCATGCCTAACCCTCCTCCTTTACCCGGGCTTGGGACCGGTAATAACTCTAGGAGGGCTACAGGCGGAGTTAGAGCTACACAGCCACTCTCTTCCTCTTTCTTCTGGCGGTCGACTAGATTATGAAGACCCCGACATCCGACGCAAAAGACGGCATACAATGAACAGCTCAGAACCAATTAGACGATTTGTACTTAGCAGATGACCTAGCCCTTCTATCCAATACACAAACAAATGAGGATAAAGACAGCCAGTGTAGCAGCAGTTTCTGCATCAGTAGGCCTCAACATACACAAGGAGAAAATCAAGGTTCTCAAATACAAAACGGAGAACAACAATCCAACCACACTTGACGGCGAAACTCTGGAAGACGTAGAATCTTTCACATACCTGGGAAGCATCATCGATGAACAAGGAGGTTCAGATGCAGACGTGAAGGCGTGGAATGGCAAAGAAAGGGCCACATCCCTAAAATTGAAGAACATATGGAACTTGTGGTGGTGGGTATTCAATATAATCCTTAAACTTCGTATACACTTCGTCTTGATAACCGTCACTAGATAACGCCCCAACCGTATATTAATCAGAAGGCGAATACGAAGTGTTGATTACGGTTATTGTGGGACCACACACAGATATCCAAAATTAAAGGTGCATTAGAAAAGCATGAAAATTTTGTGCCGAAAAGCAAGCAGGCAAGTGAGCGAGTGAGTCAGCAATACGAGTACGAGTACAGATAAGAGAGAGAGAGAAACGAAGATGAGTCATCGAATGAATTAAGCGGTTAATAGTGAGGCTAGCAGCGTGAATAAATCTGTAGGCAGTAAGCTATACTCAAGCATACATGTTCATACATTCGCAACAATAATAAAGATACAATGATGTAGATAGGTTGTTGTTGTACGGATGATTCAGTTCGTTAATAAGTTATTAAAATGACTTATTCGAATTAAATGTGAACAAACTCAATTGCACGTGAGTTGCTATAAGCTCAAAACAACTTTCGACCAATATCAAAGTCAGAATCTTCAATACGAACATCAAGATAGTTATACTGTACGAAGCTGAAACGTGGAGAACTACTACAACTATCATCAAAACGTTACAAGTAGTTGTTTACGCAGGATACTCAACATCCATTGGCCGGATACTATCAACAACAGCCTACTGTGGGAGAGAACAAACCAGCTTACCGCTGAAGAAGGAATTAAGAAAAGACGATGGAAATGGATAAGACATACACTACTCAAATCATCAAACTGCATAACAAGACAAGCGCTAACTTGGAATCCTGAAGGGAAGCGGAGAAGAGGAAGGTCAAAGAACACATTACATCGGGAAATAGAATCAGATATGAAAAGGATGAATAACAACTGGTAAGAGCTGGAAAATATTGTCCAGGACAGGGTTTGATAAAGAATACTGTTAGGTGGCCTATGTTCCTTCACTAGTAGTAACAGCCATAAGTAAGTAAGTTTTAAAAATCAATGGGAAGGTTCAAACAACCATTACAAATGAAGTAAGAAAAACAACTTTCTGAAGATAAGGAATATAAAATTTTTAAAAATCATGGTTAGCCTAAAACTTAAAAAAAATTAAGAAGAATCATTCTATCAAAATTTGAGCAGATTTTCTATCCAAATAATTGTACTGTTTACGTTTACATTATAACTTTACAGATGAAATCGTGTATTA